AGCTGGTAATGATTCTGAAGGGTAATATAATCAGTTCCGAGGGCATGAGTCTTTAAAGTCCCTGTCTCTCTCTCTGGCCTGAGTAACATCAGGTAAAAAGAAGCTTACTGGTCTTCTTTACTTTTACTTTCCTTCTGTAATAGCTCCAATTCTGTCATTGGCACCATCCTCAGAACCAAGTGTGGCAGATGTTTTGGCTTAGTGAGACAGTAGCTTCCTTTGCAGTGCTTACTCTGTGAACTCTGTTGCCTGCAAAACCCCATTGGAGTGGGGTTGTTGCTCTGATTCTGTAGGAGAGGAGACAGGCACAGAACTGCCCCCCCACCCTTTTCAGCAGAGCTCCAGGAGTCATGGACTTAAGGCTCATGTCTTAAGGAGGGTGATTGTTTTTTCTTCGACAAGTATAAATCAAAATGATTCCTGGGGTTGATATCAGACAATGTAGGAAACTAACTGGGTTTTATGAAGTATAACATGCTGTGTTTGTGACTTCAATTACAGTTTACTGTCTTAGGTCCAAAGCAACAGCCTGTCCCAGAATAAGTCATGTGCAGTGAGGACTGACCAGGCCAACCTTGTCAAACTAGTGTGAACTGGAGTGAGGAAGATTTCTGTCAGCAGAATACTCCACCTACATCCACAAAAAGAAAAAAAGAGAAAAAAAAAAAAACCTGTTGTAGGGAGCTACCCCTACCCTACCAGGGATTTGACAATCGTGGTTCTTCTAGCCATGCAAGTATCTGCTGGGGCAACCCCACAGACAGAGACTCGTACATGTCCCTAGGGACAGATTAGAAATGGTGGCAGCTAAACTTAGCTCCCTGGATAAGCTGCCTGTAGAAGGAAGTGCAGATGGATTTGGAGGGAGAGGGTGGGAGACTTAAAGGGACAGTGACAGATTTTAGGGGACTGTTGGATGGTATACTGGGAATGTGACCTGTACCTGGGTGGGCCTTCACCCAGCTCCGATGTGGTATCCAGGAGAGTCCCTGACTGCCATTATGTCTTAGGCATGTCTTTGGAATAAACTGCCCAGAAGTAAAGAGGACCACAGTGTTGACTGATGACCAAAGGGCACTTTTAGTTCTGGAGTGCTTCCCATTGTGTGTGGGAAAGACTGTAGATCGATTACTTAGACTTGCTGGGTGTGCGCCTGCTCACTGGCAAGCTGAGAAAGCATTTGGATTGACTCATGGGATATACAGAAAAGGAGATATTTGTACTTTACATGAGACAGCACTATTTAGTATAAGTTGTACAGTATAATTTGGTTAAAAGTGATCACTGTCCTACTTGGAAATCCTGAATATTTCACAATTTACTGTCTTTTTAGTCATCTCTCAACATTTTCTACTCCTTCCCCAAGGCAAAGACGTGCATAATAGAAAAGACAGAGCCAGCCAGCTGTCAGAAGACACATGTACCTAATCACACAGCACTCTTTTCAGCCGTGTTCCTTATTTTCATATTGCTGATGGCTCTTCTTTTTTGACTTTTAGTTTTTTGACCTTAAAGTACCTTAAAGTACCTTAAAGGTGTAGTTCTATTTTTTGATACTTTTAAATTTGAGTATTCATGTCATTTTAATGTGTTTGTAGTCACATGACAAAGCCATATTTACTTCCAGTCCAAGCAATCCTGTGGCTGGAGGGCTTTTTTAAAAGCCACCCAGCTAGTCCTGGGCTATGCATGGGGGTGGGGGGATGGGGAGAGGGCTTTGGTCACAGTAAATGAGACCAGCACAGTTTTCTCAAATATCCTGAGGGAGTGGCATGATCTTAAGGATTATTTGCTAATACCTGCATTGTGTGTTTCTTTCTTTTACTCTTTTTTAAAATTGCAGAATATATACTTGATTCCAATATCCTGTATAGCTACAGAAAAGGATCTGAAAACATATGCTCAGTCTTGAAAAAAATAAGCCAATTAAAATATAAGCCAAACGCATCACTAACTGCTACCTAGATTTAGAACATCACAGTGATTTAAAACCCCCCAGACACCCTGCCACTGTTAAGTACCCCACCATCAGGCATAGCCATTCTTGTGATTTCCAGCTGTTCCCTCCCTTTCATCTGGATGTTTGCCACCTATGTATACCCAAATACTACTGAGCAACAGCTCCTTAACCACTTTGTCTCAGTTTTATTGTTATTGGGGTAACAGTAACTCTCACCAAAGTATAACCATGAGGGCTCATGGAATCAGTATATGTGTGATGCTGAGACCAGTGCCTGGCATCCAAGCACTAGATATGCATTAGCTGTTGTAACTCTCATTATGTTCACTTTAGCCTTTCTAAAACCTCACATGTAAAGAATCATGTAACTATTTTACTATAACTGTTTTCTTTAATTCAGCATTATAGTTCTCTCTTGTTCATAACCAGTACTTGATCATATGAAAATGCTGCATTTTATTTACCCATTGAAACCAAGGAGATCTTGGGTTGTTTCCAACTAACTTTGATGATCCTGTTGCTGGGAGCTTTCTGGTACCCATGCACCAGAGTTTCCAGAGCCATGGTTCTCAGAGTGTGGTCTGTGGTCCTGAGACCCTATCAAGCACCCCATGAGGTCAAAACTACTAAAAGGGAACTCCCTGGTGGTGCAGGCAGTTGAGCGAAAACTGTGGAGCTGTCCACAGCCTCTGCAGTGCTGGTTCAATCCCCGCCAGCCACGGAACAACCCACATGGTGCACCAGACCTCTCCTGTCTCGCCCGCTGCTCCCCTTAGCAGTTATTTCAGTCAGTCTGCCTGTTCTGTTCCCCGCTCTGTCTCTGGTGAATCCTCTCACCCTCCCGCACATCTGGCCTATACCCCAGTTCATGTATAAATAAATAAATCTTTAAAAAAAAAAAAACTACTTCACAGTAATATGGAGACATTATTTGCCTTTCACACTTTCATTCACTCTCAATGTACTGTGGCATTTTCCAGTGTGGTGGCTATCTACATATATGCATATATATGCTTATAAATTTAATTTCTCTCAGTTTTAATTTCTAGTACAGTAAATATTGATAGTTTTGGAGATGTTGTGTTTGGGTTTTTTTTCCTTTGTTTTATTTGAATAAGTTAGTGAAAATATAGGGACTTTCCATAAAGAGCCTAAAGAGACCAGATTCTGACTCACCCATTTGAGTTAGTGACTAATGCCTAAGCATGAGATTTTTTTCATTCATGTATTATTAGTTTTTCAGTACCTCTGTTTTATGTTAATCAGGCAGGTCCATTGGTAAGAAAGAAGAGGAACCTTCCTCCTTATTGCCATTCTGGTGTGGGGGTAGGCTTTTCGATAGGTCCTAGACAGCAAATGGAAGTCAGGAATCTATGAGGTTATGAAAGGAAATAGTGTTTAAGCTACTGTTAAAGAGTCAACTTTGAGAAAACTCTTACCTTGCTGTTACCAGCAAGCATTCAGTTTCCACTTAGTACAAGACTGTGCTGAGGCTAAAGCTATAAGTGAAGATGTTTTGTTTTATGGCTCTTGGGGTTTTTTCCCCTAAAAATGTCTTAGTTCTGTTGGTAGGTTACAAATTATTACAGTGACACTTGGTGAAAGAACCAGGATGTTCTGTATTGCAGTGAGTCTGATGCTCCTAGTGTATTGGGTCCTGTCTTGGGGTCTCACCAGCCTGAGATGCAATTCTGCCAACACAAAAATATTTTTCTAATCCAAGATCACAAAGATTTTTGCCTATTTTTTTTTTAAATTTGTAGTTTTAGTTTTTCACATTTAGGTCTGTGATCCGTTTTGAGTTCATTTTTGTATATGGTGTAAGATAAGGGTCTATGGTTTATTTTTGTCACACAGACCACCAGTTTTTCTAGCACCATTTGTTGAAAAGGAAACTTACCATTGGTTTTGCCCTTTGGGCCTGATTAAGACAAGAAAGGAAAGAAACATCTGTAATTAGCTGCTGCTAGCATTCTGCTTTTTTTTTTTTTTTAAGTCTTAAGTTCAAGCTGCAATCCCGTACCTTTCTGGTGCTCTTTCCCCCATCAGTGTTTACAATGTCAGCCTCCCACACATGGATGGCCTTATATTATACACTTCTGTGAAAATGTCAAGCGTGTCATGAACTTCTCACACTGACCCTTAGTGTAAGGTAACCTGTGGCACCTACCACCAGTAAGATTTCAAAGTGAAAACTCCAAAAAAGATACTTCCATTGTGTATATGTGGTATAATTAATTTTCCAAATTCTACTTTTTTAAGGAAACTTTTTCATGCCTTTTAAGGGAATCGGTTCACTTACTACTTTTTCTAGCTAACTCCATTTAGTAACATTTTAACTCCCACTAAATTCTTCCATGAGTACCATCCATTTGATAGTTCAGCCAGGACCTTGAATGATTCTAAAGGTGTCCTGCCAGTTGTTGCACATGTGTATCAACATTCAGCTGATGAGACAAAGACAGACTAGTCATTCCAGCACAGAAATCCCAGTTCAAAATGGTCTTTGTTCTATACAAAAAATCTGGTCATATAAACGTGTGAAGGAATGATGAAATGTTAGGCCTGTTTTCAGTAATGAAAAATGTTTTGTCATATGCCTCTTCTTTAATGATTTGCTGTCTTTAACGACTGTTTCAAGTACATGGGGCCTGCTTTATCAGAAGCAAAACTGACATAGGAACTTAATCTGAAATTCTAGCTCCAGTCCATCCTTCCCTGGTGGCCTACAGCAGGCCAGCCCCATGTGAGGAAAGGAAGAACTAGACTGGTGAGAGGGGTCGCATCCAGAATCAAGTAGCAGTGTTCTGATAAACAGTCTGCATTTGAGTCTTGAGGTTGAAGCTAGAAAAACTGCATTTTTAGTATTTTTAATGTGTCTTTAATTTTTAAAAATGTTCATGCTCTCTGAGTCCTTTTACTTTCCCTTCCCATTTTTGCAGTGGCAAAATGATACTCACATTACCAGTAGGTGACAAACATTGCCAGGTCAGGATCCCTCAACTAAGACTGAGTGCTGAATATTTCTCCTTTATGACAGGGTGAATCAGTGAAGTACTTCCTGGATAACTTGGACCGGATCGGCCAACTGGTGAGTAAACACCCCCTAATCCCGAGAGGCTGAGATCAGGATGAGAAAACACTGTGCAGACCAACACAATGCAAAGAGGAAGGACTTTTCACTGTGCTGTGAGCCGTGTTTGTTGTGGCGGGTGACCTTGAGTGGTGGTGTGATGTCATGTGTCCACTTAGATCTACAGGTTGTGTTAGGGTGGAGGGGAAAATACATGCGGGTAGTGCGGATGTCCATGTTCAAATGGAGGAAATTCTCAAGTTCTTATTTGCTTATAAACCTTTAGTTACCACTAAACTAGGATGTAAAGTAGTGTTCTGTAAGATTTCCTTTGCCTGAGTTACCATAAAAGAGACAGCAGTTCCTTAAATCAAGATTTCCTTTAACCTTTTATTGTGGGAAACTCAAACATCCAGAAAATAGACATTATAATGAAACCCCAGTTCCCACAATTATCATTTATGCTCAGTCTGGTTTCACTGGCTCCACCCCACTCCTAGGAACAAATCCATCATCCTGTCATTTCATCAATAAAAGACTCTAAAAATAATAACTACACTACCATTATTGCTCCTCAAAAATTAGCAGTGATTCCTTAATGCCAACTATTATTCTTCCAGTTTTGAGATTTTCCCACTTGTCTCAATATTTTCTTGTGGGTGCTGCTGTATTTTAACAGTTTGACTCAACGTCGTGGTAAGACCCGTACAGCACAATTGGTACTTAAATTTCTTTTAATCTGTAGATTTCTCCCTCTTTTTCTTCTTTCAATTTATTTGTTGGAGTAGTTGGATTATTTCTCTGCTATGTTTTTTCTCAGTTCTGGATTTTGCTGTCCTGTCCCGGGGTGTTAAATAGCTGTTTCTCCCTCCCCTGTGTGTCCTGTGGGTTGGTAGTCAGATCTAGGGCCACATCCTCCCTGTTCGGTTTTGACAAGACTGCTGCCTGAGGGCTTACGTGCCGTGATCACAGGAGCATTTGAAAGGTGCAAAGTCAGTGGTTTGAGAGTTACTGCAGTTGCCTGTGTGTGGCTCAGGACTAAAGGTTTTCAGAGAACAGCATATTAAATACATTACAGACTAAGTTCAGCTAGCATCGCAATACCTACGCTAGGCTAGTTCATGGTAAGGCTTTGGGTTATGTATATTCAGGAAGTTAGAAAAATGGAAAGATTACTGTGGTCCAGATACCAAAAAAAAAAAAGCTTCTTTTCCTCCAGAGAAGAAGAGAAATAAGAGTTTAGATTGGACCCCCAACAGTGAGAATTCTGATAACTCTTCCTCAGAGAGATGAGGTCTGTGTTCATTTTGAAATGAACTATTGTCTGTTCCATGATAAACATGTAATTGTGTACATGGTAGTTGCTTTTTGGCATTTGGCTCTACTTCTCACGAAAGGCAGTCTGACTCTTTCTTTCCTCCCTATCTTTTTGTTCTTATTTTCTCCTGTTCTTCTTCTCCTAAATTTCTCCCTTGTCCTATATTTTTACAGAATTACTTTCCTAGTAAGCAAGACATCCTGCTGGCAAGGAAAGCCACCAAGGGAATTGTGGAACATGACTTCGTTATTAAAAAGATCCCTTTTAAGATGGTGGATGTGGGTGGCCAGCGCTCTCAGCGCCAGAAGTGGTTCCAGTGCTTTGATGGAATCACCTCAATCCTATTCATGGTCTCCTCCAGCGAGTATGACCAGGTCCTCATGGAGGACAGACGTACCAACCGGCTGGTGGAGTCCATGAACATCTTTGAAACAATAGTCAACAACAAGCTCTTCTTCAATGTCTCCATCATTCTGTTCCTCAACAAGATGGACCTCCTAGTGGAGAAGGTGAAGACTGTCAGCATCAAGAAGCACTTCCCGGATTTCAAGGGTGACCCTCACAGGCTGGAGGACGTTCAGCGATACTTGGTCCAGTGTTTCGACCGGAAGAGACGGAATCGCAGCAAGCCACTCTTCCACCACTTCACCACCGCCATAGACACGGAAAACATCCGCTTTGTGTTCCATGCTGTGAAGGACACCATCCTGCAAGAGAATCTGAAAGATATCATGTTGCAGTGAAAGAGGATGCCCCCTGCTATTGTCGTCCTCACATGCCTTCAAGGCCATTGGTCAGATATCCCTGGCGTCTCTTGCCATCAGGTCTTGCAGGGGTTTCTCAGATCTGTGCCATCCAACATCTGGCTCGGGAATGCTGTCTAGTCAGCCACGCCAAAGCGCTCCAGGCAAAAGGACAAGGAAACTTTGAAGTTAGCTACTGAATCCTGGGGACTAGTGAAACTACTGAAAATCCAAGGGATCACTCTGGTATTAACTTGTAATACCTAATAACACAGCTTTCTTTCTTTTTACAGAAACTTTATTCTTTTCTGACACCATTTAATCAAGGATTGTGTGTGTGTGCACGCGTACGCTGTCTTTAATGACAAAAACCAGCCAGCCTTGCAGATGGCTTTTCTCTCTAACTTGCAAGTCTTCAGTAAGACAGACTAACCTGAGAACTTTGACCGTAGTTTGTAGGAGATGAAATGCAGGCTGATGCTACTGAACTCGGTGCCCAAGCCCGGCCTGAGCCTCACCCTGGTGTCTCAGTGCCACCTCCCAAAGTGAACACGTTGCCTTTTAAAACTCTTGTGCCAATTTCCAGAGAGACCCTGGCCCAGGCATTTTAGATTAAGCTAAGGGCCCCCAGCTTTAGTGGGTGGCATCATGAGCTCTAAGGGTGTGGACCTGCCTTAATGCCCCCACGATGTGTGCTGTCTTCCTGCCTTGTCAGATTGCCCAGCAGTACAACCCAGAGTGGAAGTGTGGGACGGGCACTGACAGTGAATGTTCCTCTACTATAGGCACACAGTGGGGCTATCCGCCCCACACCCACCCTGCCCCCACCCATGGCAGACATAAAGCCACCTGGCCGCACAGGTGACCTTCCTGTCTTACAAGTCATCTTCTGATGCCCACTGTTGGCTGCATTAGTGTTTCCTTATTTTGGAAATAGCAATGCTTTTCCTATTTCTCTCAGGGGCTTCTGAAAGCTGGCAAGATTACTGGCAGAGCTTTTGTTAATGCCACAGCTGCTTGGTGAGTCCTAATAGCTGACCTTTCAGCAAGTTCACAGACCGAAGAAATCTCAGTTTCTCCAAACTGCCACTACACCTGATGCCTTTGGACAGCTGGTCCCTGTCTTCAGTCCTCCCTTCAATCTTGATTCCTGTTGTAGTCTCTCGCTTCTGTTATGCACACATACCAAGTAACTATCTGCCATGGCTTTCGGGACAGGGAGACCACAGAAGGCTATGATGCTGATGTGTATGGTCCATGTTACACTCAGTTATCTTGTCCAGTTACCTGCCAGATGTCTTTCCTTGTGTTTAAAAATACATTGCATTCCAAACTGCTCCTCATTGTGTATTCCTGTTCTAAAAAAAAAAAAAAAAAAAGTCTGTCCTCTATGTTTAGGACTTTTTCTAGCATTTAAAAAGAAGCAAGATCTCCCTCTGTAGCTGGCACCAGAATGTTACTATAGGTTGACAACACATCCAAGGGCCCTATCCTCAGGCCGCACTGTTCCCCATCTCTCAGTTCATTTTCAGCAAGCCAGATAAGCATAGATCTTGTGCAGATATCCGGAAGGAAAGGAGGGAAGCCCTGCTTCTGAGTCATCCTTATTATCACCGTGTGTTTAATGAGGAGACAACATGAAATTCTCTTTCTCTTTCGGTGCTCAAGACTTTGTGTCATGTTTGCTGGAAAGAAGTTGGGGTTTTTGTCCTGCTTCCTGTTGCTCTTCATAAACTGAAAGGACATGACCCAGGATTGGTGCCATGGCCACTGTTTAAAGGAGAAAGAACACTCTTGACGGGCTCCATCAGGGCGGCCTAAGACCATGTCTTCTACTGCCCTGACCCAGACTGTGCGGCCTCTCATCTCCTGGTCAGTTTTCTCTCGTAGAAGTTTGGGAGGATTTAAGGCTGTTCCTCCCCAAGTAGGGATCTTCAGCGTTCTGGAGGGGATTCTCTCCATTGTGGCTGACATAACCAATGAGGTTGTGGGAACTGCCTTCCTGATGTGTTTGGAAGCCTCTTCAGTGAGTGCTTTTTCCCCTTTAAACTGATTTACTTGCTGTCCAAACTGGAAGCACATATGTAGAGAGATCACAACTGTTGAACTGACCAGGCAGGGGGCAGGGTGGCTCTGACACGCAGCCTCTGATGCCACTCCCTTCCTGGGCCTGGGCCTCCTGCTCACCAGACCAGACAAAATGGAGTCTTTAAAGGTGCCAGGCTCCAAGTTCTGTGACCCTTGACTCAGAGAAGATGCCCATTTGCAAGGCTAAACTAAAACCATTTACAACTTTTCTGCACACAGATGGTAGTCATTATCTCCCAAACCTTAGGCTTTTGTATTTTTTATTTTAATTTCACTGTTGTCTTTTTTATCAACGTGTTGGAGAAGCAGGAGATAGTGGGCCTGATCTATCAATATTATTGCAAAAATGTAACAATAAACTTCCTCGGTATACATATTTTCCTCATAGTTATACTGTTTACACATGAGAACACATGTAGGTTTTTTTACTGAAATTTTTTTTAACTCTTCTTGTAGAGAGAGAAATTGTTTCAAAGATTTCAAGTTAGAGCTTTGTAATTTATAGAGATTTCTAGAAATCTTTTCTTGTAATTTTTTTTTTTTTTTTTTTTTTTTTTTTTTTTACTTCTTACTCCAAGATCAGAAAATAATCTTGAAACAAGATGACTTACTAACTCGGGGGTCCTGGGGATCTCTAATTCGGTATTAAAGATAAAGGTACCATGAGGAGAGCCGCCCAGAGAACTGCTCACGGTTTATACTTTGTGCGCTGTAGTGGCCTTGGCTGGGAGGATCTGATTTGATGGTTTGACTGCCTTCAGTCTCTAGATGGTCATTAAAATAAATCCCTAGTTTTTCTTTGCTTAATGTAAATATCACTCAGCATTCAAAACCAACACTAATTTTTTAGTCCCAAAAATTCAGAGCAAATAACTCTAATCTTAATTTTACCTGAAGGGTCATGATTTGTTAACCAGTTTTTATCTCCACATGCTACACAGAGCCTGACACACAGGAGAGCTGTCATAAATAACTGTTTTGCATGGAAGTCTCTGGAACACAGCTTCAGAACAGGTGATGGAGGCATACACGCGTAAAGACACGCGTGTGTGGGGGAGAGATTGGGAAAGGCCCAAGGAGGGGGACCCACGGACTGACATTTGACATGTCCAGAGACCCGGAAGAAAACCCAAGGGTACAGTGGGGTGGGAGATCCTGTCAGCACAACCCTTGGGGTTTTTGTCCCAGTCACAAAATGGAGAAATCACCATGAAGGACTTCCAGCTGTTGGCACGGTCTGTGGCACTCAGGATTCTCTCCTAGAAGGAGGAGTGCGTGTGTTGTCCAGGGAACACCACCTGGTAGGGCATGGTGGTGTACACTGCGGTGCGGGGCTGAAAATGACCACGGTGGGAAAGTCAGAAATCCCTCCAGAAAGTGTCAGCAATGGGCACATCACACGCCTCATCGTCCATGGCAGTGGGCTAAGCACTTTGTCCAGTTTCTACACTTAGGAAAATTGAACCAAAGGGTGATTCTCAGTCCTGCCCCAACGTTGGGTCCCTGGGGGTCTTTGGAAAGTGCCTGGATCCCAGCTGTTCAGGAGGTTGTGTTCTGCAACAGAAGGAGAGGGTGGACAGTGTGGGCAGCGTTCCCGATCCATGAAATTCTATTTAGTCTTCCCCTCACTGGCAGCAACCTGCCTTGAGAAGACACAGCAAAGGGTGGTGATTTGAGTGAGGTCGTCTCACTTGGTCTCTCGAGACCAGTGGGCAGTCCTTTCAGATCTTTTTGGTCCCTCTTTCTCTGTCATGTTCATCAGATGTGCTCAGCAACCTCACGCTAAAATGATTCCTGGAAATTTAGGAGGTTTCACTGAAGAAAAAGCCTATATTAAGGCTTACTTCATTTCCACAGCAGACCAGGGATAGATGTTCCTTACACATGTGATTCTGGGGCCTCAACGACAGTGAGGCACAATCCTGCCCCCTGTTTTGGTGTGTTGGAAGCGCATCTGCAGCTGAGAGGGCCGAGGGCTCAGCACCCACTGATGGGAGGGTTTTACCAACTCTGACTTCAGCTCCTTCTGTGAGAAGTGTGTTGGGCCCTGAAGAGAAAGGTGTGGCATCCCTCAAAGAAGAGGTGTTTCCTTAGCTCAGTTCGGAGGTTCAGATGCTGACATGTGCTGTGTGAATGGCCCTTCTGGGCACATGACTTTGCAGGACTGTGCAGGGTCACAGGCCTATTTTGGAGCCTGTTCCTGCCTTCTGAGTGGCTGAGGGAGGACTTGAGCCACTAGAGGCTGCTTTTGTGGGTCTCTACTCTTTTGCAACTGGGTCTCTTCCCATCAGAATTTGCTAGAACTAGAAGGCTGGTTGCTTCTCAGTATTTAGGATGGTCTTTTGAAATGAGTGGGTTTAACTTCCATGCTGCTGTTGGTATCTCTTCAGGTGAAAACTTACTACAAAGCACAAAAGGTTACTAATTGCCAAAGCACCCCCAGTGCCCTTGTTCTTGCCTGGGTTCAGCCTAATACATCTTATCCAGAGTGGCCCTGGCAGTGAACTGCCTGCCTGCGGTGATTCTGTTCATCTTGATAATAGGGACCCCCTCAGAGCAAGAGGCTGGAGACGCGAGCACTCAGAGCTAGGCCTTGCAGTCTGTTGATTTTGCCTCATCTATGTCTTGCTGGGCTGGTCCCCAGGAAAGCTGAACTTTCCCGAGGCTATAATCCCAGACCACAGGAAACAAGTGGGCGCTCAGATTTCTGGGCAGGAAGTGTAATCCTAGGAATTGGTGTCTGTGAGTAGCACGGCTAGGAAATGGGGTGACCTCAGAATAAACCATGGAATTCCCGCCCGGAAGGACACACTACACATGGGACAATAGCGCGCTCTCCTAGCTGCGCAAGCCACGGTGGAGCTGAGACACAGAATTGCTCTTATGTCCAGCGCCAGCCTGCAGCAACTTGTCCCTGCTCACGCCTTTTATCAGTATTCACGACACGTCTTAAAATGTCATTGTGGGGTTCTTACTATAAGAGACCCTAAAGACTGCCGCTGATGGGCAATAAATGTGACTGCTGCTCACTTCACAGAAGTAGAAACCTGGCTTGACCTGAAAAGTAGGTTCTGTTTTTTGAGCGGGTCACAGAAGGTAGGTTTTTTTTTTTTTCCTTGAGATGGTTTTATGTGTGTGTAACATGAACTTGATGAAACGCTAGAGCCGTGCTTTGGGGTTCTTGAATTAGCCTGCATTTCCTAGCAGGCGGGCTGGTTAGCAGCGGGGCAGTGTGGGAAGGCACCAGGCTGTGAGTGACTGGGACAGGGCTTCCCTTTTCTGCCCTGTCCTGTTCCATGAAAATAAAGGGCTGTTGGTCAGACCTGCCGATTCGGCACCTTTCTGTGAACACCGAATTCACTTTATTTTGTATTTTTTAAAGCTGATGTATTACAGTCAAATGAACATAAACCCAGCTATTCACAGTCAAGGTGGAGTTTCCTGTGGAACTATGTGTCCCCAACAGGTGGCAGAGCCAGACCAGCTCTGGGGTGTCCTGCTCCTGTCACACACACACACACACACACACACACACACACACACCCCGTTGGCTCTGACTACACATGTCCTTTGGTAGGAGGGGCTGGAAGTCCAGATGAGGGTAACTAAGAACTTGACCCTCTCTGAGTAGGGTATAAACAAGCCCCATTCTGGTACTTTCTGGGACTAGTACACGGGTGCATGTCTGCCAACTGATTGGGGATGCCTGCCGTGGAAAGGGAGATTGAAAACGGGTGCTGGGAAGACCTCTGTTGCAATAGGCAGACAGGGCCAGAGGCTGGTCGGTACTGCCCCCACTGGCCAGGAATGCTCCAGGTGGCATGAGGGCCTGCAGATGGGCTCCTGTTCCTCCATGCTGGAACTGGCTCCTCTGGAACCTCCCAAAGCCTGGAGGTGACATGAGATCTCCTTCCACAACCACCTCTCACTTTGCCTCCCTCAGAAAAGGTCAGTACCAACTGCCCTCAGAGCTCACACATCTAAGTGACTTTGGGACTCAGGCTGAAAAATTGAAGCCAACTTGATCTACAGATCAGGCTAGCAGATTCTGCTTGCGGTGGCTCTTTTACTCCCCCATGCTGTCTGGATGAGCCTAGACCTCTTCTCCAGAGGCCCCTACAGACAGGTGGACAGCCGTGTCCGGGGGGCGATGGGGTGAGGCATATATGCGGGAGACACCCAATGCAGCCTGAGGAAACCTTGGCCAGTCTCTTCATCACACTGTCCTGTTCAGACTTTACCCATTGGAGTCTTCAGCAAACCTGGTTATGAAGAAATTTAAAATAGACCTCGATTGTGCCTGCCCATCTCTAGAAGCTTCAGCGCCTGTTATGCAAATTGATTTAAAACATTCCAAGAGGCCTTTCAAGCCAGCGAGCATTGACGAGTTTATTATTCTCTGTTGGCAGAAGCGCAGCCAGGAAGTTCAGTGTTAATACGCTTGACCTCTGCCCACACCCACTGTGTGCTTAGTTCTCCTGGCAGGCTTTGGTGTGCAGCGGGGGTGCTACCCCGAGGGCCCTGCCGACGAAGGGAGAGGTGGCACTTCAGCTTTAGCATTCTCTGAGAAGCCAAGCTTTGAACCCTCCTAGGGTCTTTTTACACATAGAAAGGAAATTCCAAGAGTCACCGCCAAGGGCTCCATCACGGGCCCTCCCCTGGAAGTGTCGCCACCGCCCCAAACCCACCTGCAGTGGGCTCGGCCTACACCAGAAGTCTTGCTCTGTGAATACTGTGTACGGGGTAGAACATATGTTACAAAGTGTAAAAATGTATTTTATAGCTACAGTGGTTAGTCTAACATGGTTTTGTACATATGATTTTTATAACTCTATTAAAATTTGCCTTAAATTACTTTGTATTCCTGGTGTGTTGCATCCTGGCAGAACGCAGCCCCTGCCACCCCATGGCGGCTGCACTGTGAGGTCTGGTGCCCTTGCTCCCTGAGTGCGCGCGCTGTGGCTCACCCAGGGGCTTCCTGGTAAAGCTCTCCTTTTCACAGGCACCTTTCCAGAAGCAGGCGCCTCCTATGGGTGTCTCTGTGCATGCAGTATGCATGTCACGTGCCAGGGCCTGGAGCAGAAGAGGAAGGTCAGTGGGTCACTGCCACCTGGATCTCCTTAACTTCCTGAGGCCTGTTCCCATCACCTCACCCCCCCACCTCTGGTGCTGGTTTCCTCGGCTGGGAGCTCACGCGTTATCCTGTGTTGATTCAATAGCAGAGTCTGTCATTGTTCAGCTTTGTAACCACACAAGCACGACCCCAGGTGTGGGTGACGTGTGGGAAAGCAGCTCCAGCGACCTGGAGAGCCAGTGTGGGAAAACGCTTAGGTGATACTCGAATACATAGACATGACCCCCCCCCCCAAAAAAAAAGGCCTACCCATTTCTTTTTATCACATCATAAGCATCACCCTTGACCCTGGAAAACACAGACATGGAATAAGTATGTTCAAAGTGATCCAATTTGATTAAAAAAAAAATTTAAAAACCTCAGCAGAGTGACCTGAAACTGCGGTGTCGAGGAGCGCGGGGCACCCTCCAAGCAGGAGAGGACTAGAGAACTCAAGACGGTAAGTTCTCTTGGTTTCAGCTAGACTTCTAGAATGTTATCCTCTTCCCTAAAGGCTTTCTATCCATTTGGTTTTATAATTTTTATTAGTTTTGAGGATGAAAATTATACATAAGCTTCACAGAATTCTCAACCGCACAGGATTTAGTCTGAATATCAAAGACACGGTCATAAGGGATGCCAATCACGTCATTGGGTCAAGGTGTCGAAGCCCCATAGTTAGGACGGGTTGTTGCCCCTGAGAGGCCTGTTGGTGGTTCAGCTTTGGGGCTGAGGCCCGGGCTCTGCCTTCCAGAGCCTTTTGTAGGTTCGCTGTCCTCTGGAGTCCTCAGAAGCTTGGGTTGGCTCAGCGAGCACCACATTCCCCGACAGCAGCAGTATGAAGCAGGACAGGACTAAGGAGCTGCCTGCTCCATGCGAGTCCTACGTCATCTGACATGTTGGGGTGGCATCCAAGCTACTGCTATCCCCTCTCCACAAAAATGGGGCCTCTCCCCAGTGAACATGCAGGGGGAGCTGCCCCAAGTTATTCCCAAGGGACAGGAGTGGGAATAGGGTGGGAATGAGGTGGGGGATTGGGGGGAGTCGAGAAGGTGCCTCCTCAGTGGTTTTCCCTCCTACATCACTTCCTGTTTGTGCTGGGGGCTGCGGCCCTGCCTGTTCATGAAGTTCCTCAGAAAGTTTGTCTTTGCACCCAGCACCCCTCCACCGCCACTGGTGCTCCTGCCACTTCCAGGAGCCGCTGTCACTCCCTGTCTGTCCTCCAGCTTCTGTCCTCTCACCCCAGTTCTGTGACTCCTGTTGGACAGGATGAGAGGCCTGCAGCAGGTGCCAGGCCTCTCTCAGAAGCATCCCCAGGGCTGGCAGAGGGAGGGGCTGCTTCCATTTGAAACAACTTCAGCCGCTTCCAACATGAGAAGGTCCATCCTGTTTAGAAGGGTCAGTGCACTCCATTTGATGTTCCGCTCTCTCTTTAAGCAGGTGTTGGGAGAAACTGAAAGTAAGTGGACTCCTGCTGAATAAGGGATAAGAGAAGGTGATGGGCAAATTCAGACCAGTCCCACACAGCCCCAGGCACCTTCTGCTTCTACTCGGGCCTCTTGTCCATGTGGCAGGTGAGCAGGCGCGCACCTCCACATGCTAGAAATGGCCCAGGAGTCAAGGTGAGCCACAGGCAGCTTCCTAATTAGTTCTCCACTATCACAGGTCAAAAAGGACACGCATGCACTTGGAACATTGGTGGAACCAAGAAATGACATTTCAGCCGTGCACCGGACAGCATGAAGGAAGAGCCAAGAGGGAAGCTGCGGTAAGGAACCCCTGCACTGCAGAGCTTGGGGTGCAGGGGCTGTGAATGGCCGATGGGCCCAGCCTGGCCGAATTTCAAAGCAACAGCAGTGTGTTGTGGCAGTGCCGGGGTGTGGCTGTCTGGGGAACTGAGAGCAGGTTGGTTTTGTTCCTGGTGCATTTGTTGTAGCTCTCCCTGGGGCGAGTCCGCTGGCAGCCGAGGAAGTAGGGTGTCACCTGCTTATCTGATGAGCAAGTCCTCCAGTCGCCTGGGCCCTCACTGAGAAGGAGGTGGAGGCAGACTGGACTGAACACATAGTGGCCCTCGGACATTTCTTGGAAGTTGCTTTTTAAAATAACCTCCGACATAAGCTTGTTTTCATTTGCCTCTTTACCCAAGAAGCCAAATTCAAAAATAGATCTCAGTTATTCTGGGTCCTCATTAATCAAGGTGATGCTGTGAGGCTGGAAAAGGCAGGCTCTGTTAGCTGTTTCTACCCTTTATTTACAGTTATTTTAACAGCTTTCAAAGCCATGGTTCTTTGCTATAAAGAAATAGGTTTCCTAGATTATGCTGCAGTGTTTAACTTCCATGCCTGATGGCCTGAGGTCCATAAATGTGCTGTTCTCTGGAAATCTGGTGCCTCTACTTTGGAGTTGCCCCTACAGCCATCAAGGCTCAGCTGCTCTGCCCCCCACTAGGAGAGCAGGCTGGGGAGAGCCGGAAGGCCCTGGGGCCTCCTCTCTGAGGGCCTCTCCCAGGCTCCAGGTGAGGTCTGAACCACCCCAGGAAGCCTTGGTTCTCCCAGTCTTCACAGGATAAAAATATTCCTGATGGGGACTCGCCCTCTTTATACAAACAAATCAGTGAAGCCCCAGCAACTCTGGGCTTTAAGTTGGCATCTTCACCCAGGAGACCTGGCCACCCACCCAGGCCCTTGTCCGACCTCCAGGGAGCCCTGAGCCTGAAAGTGCTGCGGTGGCCAGCGCTCTTCCCGGTGACCTCAGAAACCAAGGGCGGGCCCGGGAGAGGGTGCCATTTAGGAATCAGCGTGTGGGCTTGCCCACCCCATGCCTTCTTTTCGACTCTCCTTCCTGCCCAGACCTATTCAGTGTGCTTTTCTAAGAAAGACCTAGAACACAGGTCTGGCTTCAGCACAAAAGAGGCCTGAACTACAGCGCCTCCACATTTTAGCCTCGGGCAGATTACCAAGTCTCTGTCTCCGCCTCCTCCACCATAAAATGGGGCTGCGAACATCCGCCTTGCAGGGATGTTTTGAGAATCAAGCCTGGGGGATGTTAGAAATTCCCTGGCACTTAGAAGGGACTCGTTCAAAAGTGGAGTTTATTTACAGGGAAGCTCTGCGTCCTTTCCCAGCCCAGCCCCGCCTGTTTGGCCCCTGCGGACCCCTCATTTACCCGTGAGTGTCCCGGGAATGCTGCAGCATCTTCTTTGAACTTGGTAGTATCTAAATTTGGACTCGTAGCTTTAACATTAGCTGCTTGGCTAAGCCATGGTGTTTATTTTTCCTTAAGCCCTTTCGGAGATTTCTCTCATCACAGAAAGGTCTGCCTCAGTGTCTCCTGGGATGGCATGAACAGCCCCACCTCCTCCTCCCTGACCCACGCTCTGGAAATGAGACTGTTTCCTCCTGTCCCATCCTAGGTGGGGGAGTTCAAAATGATTCCCCTCTCACCATTATGATGGTGAGTTTGGGCTCCAGGGAGGAAGAGTGGGGTCCATGAGACAGGAAGAGGAATGCTAGGCTGCCGGAAGCGGGATTTACTGCCTCATCGCCAGGGCAATGCTGTTCATCCCTGGGTGTGTGTTTAAGCTACATTAGAGGACCACATGTATTTCCCATCCCCCTCCCGCAATCTAACAGCCACACAGATACTGTCATGACCCCAGAGTATTTTTAGCTCCGTTTGGGCCCCTCTGCCTGGGCCTGCTGAGCTGTGTGAGGGAGGTTCTCAGAAGGGCATCTTCCGCAAGCGGGGGACCTGACCTTGTGAACCTCAGGGGCTTTGGACAGTAAGGAGAGAAGTGAAACTGACATCTACCTTTCAAAAACAAAACCCAGGGTACCTGTTCCTCGAGAGCCATTGTCTGTAGATGTTTCGGTTCCGCTCGGCTCCGATGCTCATCTGGATCACCTGAGCTTGAATTTTGGCAGATCTGAGAGCCATGCCTTTGCAGGAGGAGGTGGCATCCTTATCTCTCTCCCTCATCTCCTTCCCAAACTGCTCTTTGCTCCATCACAGACAGAACCTGGAGCTAATATTTGCTCGAAGGCATTTCTGATCTCTATTCCTGAAGACTCTATTTTCAAACCATTTCTGTTCTTCCACAGCTATCTTAGAAAGTCATCTCCATCTGCAGCCTGTAGAGGCCAGCAGGCGAGTCCTATTGTTTGTGGCTTGTCCTTTTCCACATGAAGGTGCTTTAGGACATATCACAGGTGACGGCCATGGGCACCAGTGGACGGTGCTGGAATCTGGTACCCACCATGGCACACACATGACCGCCAAGCCCACCTTCAATCTGAGACAGGCTGTTCTAGCTTCATCACCTCTATTTTACCTTGCATCATTTCAGCAGCAAACCCTTCGCAGAAGACTGGAGGGAACTGGAAAACAGGTAAGATTATGTGGCAGGTGTGATGGCCAAACCAAGCAGTGGAAGCTGACTGGGACAGATTTTTCGTAAGTGCTTTCCCATCTCACATACTTTTCCTTGGATTCAGAGGTGGAATCTGTCCCTTCCCCAGAACCAAGTGTTAATGGCAGCAGTGATGCACTAGGACTTGGCAAGGTCAGTCTGAAAGACTACCCACTTCCAGCTGACTGTCTGGGCACCCCCGCCTTTGGGAGCCAGCCATCATCCTCATATGCGAGGAGGCTCAAGCCACATGGACACACCGAGGCCAGCTGAGCTCACAGGAGCAGACCCCTGCCGCCTCCACCCCCCAACTGCATTACAGAGTCATAAGCTGAATAGATTGTCAGAGTTTTAAGCTGTCAGGATTTGGGTCTTTCGTCACACAGCACCCTTTCCCCTTCTGTGGGGTGTGCCCAGCTCCTCCTCACCTTCCCTTCCCCCATCAGTGTTACCTCCCAGACCTTCATGATGCCTCCTGGAAGCTCTGCTGAACAGAACAGGGGACCCGGAACGACTTTAAATTCAGTGTGTACTCATCTCTGAGTTTTCCTGGGTGGAATCCTGGCTGTGCCTGGTGTCAGATTACAAGGAAGCTTCAGCTCTTCCGGGTAGGCCCCCCTTAATTCTATTTGTTTTTTGTACTGTTTTTCTTACCAGACCACCAAAACTGTGTAAGCTGCCTTCAAAATGTAGGCACTGCCCCTGTTCTTGCCTCTTTCCACATGGGAAACCAGCTTCTCCCTGCAGGCCAGCTAGGGCATTTGATAATGGTGGCAGGAGGGATTCATCAATCAAATGTAGGTGCACGTAAAAGAGCAGTGATGGGAAGTGTGATTTGACAAACTGAAAGGAACACGGTCATATCCACATCAGGGCTGGGTATTTTAACATAGACAGGTCTCCCCAGGTTCTGAAGGTAGAATGTCCTGATTCAGAGGTTGTGTTTTAGGTCTGGGAGCACTATTAGCATTCATTTATTGAAAAAAAAATGTTTGAATGTTCCCAAACCCAAAACATAACCTACCAAATCGGAACTTCCTATTTTGGAAAACCTGATATCAGTTTTTCGCTCAGCAACTGCTGTAAATACTCTTCTCACTCCTCTCTCTCTCTCTCTCTCTCTCTCTCTCTCTCTCTCTCCTCCTCCCGCCCCTCCCCCACCTTGACCTAGTTGCTATTAACATTGCAAGTCACCTTTGGCAGAAGTTGTCCCACGAAGGAAACCCTGCTGCAATTTCCAGTAGGTAGCCTGGCAGCACCTTCAAACCTGCAACTTAGACACCCGCCTTTCCTGCGACATTCAACTAAAGAAATGGCAGGCCTCAGTGAGCTAGTTCCAGGTGAGTGGTGACCTTCCAGAACTTCTCACAGACTCCTGAGTGAAGTCTCACAGAAAGCAACCCTTTCTGAGTGTGGGATAGATATTCTAGACAGAAGGTAAAAAACTCTGCTTCCCTGTTGAGGGGAGACCCCAGTTATGGGCCTTGGCAGCCACGTTTGTAGGAACAGGACCCTGAGCTCCAGCCAAAAATATGGGGGCACGTGCCTCCCACCATCCTCTGTTAGTGCCACGGGTCACACTGAGGCTGTGGCCGAGTGCAGAGCCTTTCCTTCTGACCCACAGTGGGGCCACCCTTGGCCACAATCAAATGTAGGGGGTAGAACCATTGTCCCAGGGAAATACAGGCCCTGGCCGATGGTGCACAAGCTGTGCTAATTCTCCTCCTCCTTCCAGCGACAGGGGGACGAGTCCGTTCTGGACAGTTTGCGGGTGCTCAGCTTCTTCCTTAAGGAGGAGAACTTGTCCCCTAGGACCTTGCGTAGCCCTGTGCCGTCTCCGTCTCTGCCGCAGGGCAGTTCCTGCCTGGTGACCGGGAGCCGGCCCGTGAACATTTCCCACCGAGCAAGGCCGTCCACGGCCCTGTCCACCCTCGCCAGCTCCTCCTCAGTCACCTCCTTCTCCAGGGCCTGGATGCACATCGCCAGCCACCGTCCATGCTCCTCGATGGCCTCTGCCGGGGTTCCCAGTTGCGGCAGGCCCTCGGAGGCTGCCAGGGAGCTCAGCCCGTCCTCGGGCTCCAGCTCCGCATCCGGAGTGAGGGGCTCTGACAGGCTGGTGCCGGGCTCCGAGTCGCTCTCGCAGCACAGGCCTGAGTCAGCGCTGCAGGGCAGGGTGTCCTCCGACAGGGATGCCTCCTGGCCGGGCCGCAGCCCCACCGCTGCTCGAGTCCAGGCATGGAGCCTCTAAGAGGAAAGATAGGCCAAGCGTTCTCCAGGCGGTCATTTGCCTCGGACTTCAGTTACTTAGGTAAACCCCTCCTGTGAGGTGGCCCCACTGTCCCTGGCTACTTCGGGCTAATGTGCCAGGGCCCTTCTCACGCTGATGCCTGGGGGACAGTCCAGCTCGCACTTGCCCTGGGAAAGTCTCAGGAGCTTTGCAAGCCAGTTAGTTAGCCCGACCATCAACAGTAAACTGTGTTAAAAGCAAAGGGGATAAATATCCAAAACTCATCATTTTTACTCCTTTTCTCTGCTCTCATGCTTCACATCACCTGTATGGTGGCCACGCTGGGTAATGATGGCTCCCGTGTACCCTGCTCCCGTTCTGCCTCAGTGATGACACTGGCAACTGGCAAGGTGAGAGAGGATTTACACTGGGGATCCGCAGGTACTGTGCTCAAGGCTGCTGGCATTTGCCAGCTCACAGGCGAGGGCTTTACATAGACAGCAGGAACCTGTTCTGCCCCATCTGCATGGCACCCCCTCCCCCACAACAGCCTGGAAGGCAAGGAGTACAGTACATCACCTCCACTTGGGGCTGGAGTGTCCCCCTGCCCTCCTCAGGCCCTTCTGGTATCACACTGAATGACGCTCACTGGGGACAGGGGAGGGTGACCCCATTAGAGTACCATGGGTGGAAAAGAGGAACCACTCTCTGCTCAGATCCAAAGAGGTCCAGGCCTCCTGAGCAGGACAGGAGTTGGGAGAGGTGCAGCTCCTGTCTGTGGGTGTGTAAAGGTGGTGACATCAACGGAGTAACAGGTCAGGTCAGGTGAACCCCAGTCCTCACCTCCCTTCCCCCTGCCAGGGAAGTAGAGCTGCTTACTGCGCTTCCTTTGGCCCCAGGGAGCAGGCTTGGGGCTCAGAGCTAGCACGCCTTAACAATCCCCTCACGGGGCCTCCTTAGTGCCCCTGCAGATGAGACCTGGCGCAGGCCCCACTCCCACCAGGCGGGCTGGCTCCTCTCCGTACAAGTTCAGTCCATGTACAAGAGCCGCGCAGGGAGGCAGCCCTCTAGTGGAATGCCTGGACCTCTCGTGCAGAGGACCTCAAAGCGGGGTCACCAGACTGGCAGCATCACCAGGAGCCTGTTAAAATGCAAACTCTTCACCAGCCCCAGCGGTGCCAAAGGAGAAATCCCTCCCAGTTAGTCCAGTTGAACCAGCATCATGACCAAATGCACCACTCCAGTGCAGACTGCCCACCTCCAAGAGGAGAGAGGGTTCCCAGAGTCTAGACAATCAGGTTCATTTACAGCATTTGGCTGAAAACTTTTGTTTTTAAAATTAAGCCAAAGCTATTTGGTTGGGAGGCCTTATGCCTTTATTGGAATGAAAACTTTAATTCAGTGTTTTCATTCAACAGTGGGTTTCTTTGAACTCTGAACTCAGCGTTAAGTGTTTGAGTTTGCAGACAGACCTTCCCATAGAATAAGACTTTTCCCTGCAGGGGAGCAGGTACAAGAGTCCCAGGACCTCCTTTGTCCTGGGACCTGCTCCAGGCAGTGCCCGCTGCTCCCAGCAGAGGGCAGCATTGCCACGCTGGTGCAAAGGGAGAGGCTGGGCTGGGTTAAGAAGTGCATGACTTTCCAAAGGGAGTCTTGTTTAGTCTGGTTCTACCCCCTGAGGGGCCTGCACTTGCTCTGGGGTCAGTGAGCCACATAACATGAAAGTTGGGGCGGTGCACTGGGAGGTTACACAAGGGACAGCCACACTATCAGTCTGCAGAGATGCAGGGATACCCCTTTACAGTGCAAGGCCTAACATGAACAGAACAGTAAGCGCTCAGGCAGTGTCGCGGCTTAGGCAGCTGCACGCCAGCTCGAGCTAACTTAGAGCCTAAGTTGAGCTCAGGTCCTTTTGCTTAAGCTGGGCCCCCTCACTGCTTAGAGCCCAAGCACTTACAAACACACATGACCGTCTCCCTCTGCTTCCCAGGAGCAGCAGGCGGGTCAGTGGCCACTGTGGCGCTCAAGGCCTGCAGCAGGGCTTCTCCAGAGTGCACTCACCTTGTACCTGTCTACGAGCCTGAAGCCCAGGATGTGCTGCAGCTTCCGCAGGCAGATGGGACAGAGGTCCAGGGGCCGCCCCAGGGCCTCATCCAGGCTGAGTGCCCCCTGCATGAGACAGCGGAGCCAGCGGCAGTTCCCCAGGCCAAGGAGGTGGCAGAGCTCATGGCACACAACCTGAGAAAGGAAGGTCACCACCACCCTTGCAGCCATGACCCGCCACCCAGCCCATCCCTAGGATTCCTGAGCAGCCCCGCCAGGAGCCTGAACACCCTGGCCAAGGCCTATTCCTGGGAAGTGGTCCAAGCACCCCCTCCAGCCCCACCCCTGAATGCACAAGGTGACAACTGACTTCTCTGTGGGGCAGAATCTAGGCCCCGCTGGGCCACAAGAGAAAGGTGAGCGGGACCGTGGATGTCATAAACAGGTTCAAACCCTAGCCCTGTGGTTTCATGGCTGTGTGACCTTGGGTAAAGGATTTAACATCTCTGAGCCTTGGCTTCCTCACTCTAAGTGAAGGGGCATCCTCGTGTGCAAACTGGACAGTAACTGGGTGAGCACAGAGGGATCAACTGCTGACCACTACATCCTTCTGATTCTACATCCTTAGCTTCTCCCCAGGGCCCCCAACCTTCTACCCTCTTCCCATCCCCACCTTCTCCCACCATCTGGGCAGCACCCCCTGCGCCCTGGCCTCCATGCCCACCTTGCAGCACTGGGCCATCCCCAGGGCGTTGAAGCACAGGGTCCAGCCTCTGTCCTGCAGGGGATTCTCAGGGCCGCTGGCTGCCACCTCTGTCGGGGCTGGATCAGAGGCGCTGGGCCCCATCTGCAGGAACTCCCCCACAAACCGGGCAAAGCTACAGATGCCCACTTCTGGGGAGAGGCAGAGGGAAGAGGGCTCAGGGGGCAGCCCCTGCTTCAGGGAGCCCTAGGGCAGACCACCCCATCCTCAGAACCCAAAGGATCTGCCTGCCAGCGTGTCCACGGGAAGACAGCCCTGGGCAGAAGCTAGAGGAATGCCCCTTGCCCAGAGAAGCTGGAATATGGGGCCTGGAGTTCAAGTGTGGCTGTTGAGTAGAGGAGTGGGGGCATTCTCGGAGTAAGAGCAAGGAGGGTGCGTGTTCAGTCATGCACAATGCACCTGTGCTGAGTGCAGCCCTCCCCCCGCTCCACCCCTGCTGAGCGCCGACTGTGTGACGCGGGGCCTGGCTCACCGTGCCCCGGAAGGAACATGCCGAAGGTGAAGCTCCAGGCCTCGCAAGGGTACAGGTCAGACAGCGTCAGGCCCAGCACACACAGGGCGTCGCCCGGCTTGCTGCTCTTCAGGAAAGACAGGATGCCATCTGAGGGGAGAGGGCCAGTGGTCAGAGTGAGGGCAAGAGGGCCCTTCTCCCAGGCCCTCGCAAAGTCCAACAGAGAAAGCTTTAGTCTGAGGCTGAGAACTCAAACCACCGAGCTGCAAAATGTGGGGCCACAGGCCTGAGTCCCAGCGTCAGGCAGTATGGATCATCCGGGCCAAAAAGTTCTCAGGATGTCCATTTCCTGAATTGCCAAGAAAACTGACCTGAACAAGGCAGGGCCAAGGTGCCTGGCCAGGCCAGGGGAGTTCTGAAAAGACAGCTGGGCTGACAGGGCTGCAGGGAAGTGGCAGCCAGCACCATCACGTCCTAGCCCAGGACCTGTGCGCCTGCGACTCGTTGAACTCTGCAAGGGGCAAGGGAGCTCCGGATTATCCAGTGGACCTGGGGTCTTCCCAAAGTCTTAGGCAGGAAGGCCAGAGAGAGCTGAAGAGGCTCTGCTGCCGACTGGAGGTGGAACAGGGGCCACGAGGCGAGGAATTCGGGCTCCTCTGGAAGCTGGGTATGGAAGGAACCAGTCCTGCAGACTCCAGGGAGACTTCTGACCCCAGAGACGCAAGAGGAGCAGAGAAGTTTCAGCCGCTAAGTGACCTTGCAGTGACTTGTTACAGCACAAAGGAAACCGTCTCCAGGAACCTGGCTGCAGGGCCAGGGAGGGAACCCAGGACAAGGCCTCAGGGATTGAGGAGGGACCCCAAGAGATGCAGGTGGGGCAGCCAGCGAGGTCCAAGACCAGGGAGGTCTGAGTGGCTGGAGGGAGAGGCAAGCTAAGGGATTTTCCCAGGGGACAGCTAGAGAAAGGAGTAGCGGAGTGGAGGAGCTGGGGGCACACGGGGGCAGAGCCTTTGAGCGGGGAGCAGCCTGTGGCACAGGCAGGGCTGTGGGAAAGAGGGTTGGGAGCAGGAGAGCGGGTATGGGGTAGGGCCTAGGGAGACCGGCATCCCTAAACTGAGGCGCAGAGGTGCAGGCAGTGGGGAGCCGTGGAGGGAAGTGTGGAGCTTCCGCTTTGGTTGCCGGTAGAAAAGAAGAGGAGAAAGTATTCATGCTAGACGGGCGTCGAGTTTACCCAGGTGTGGACAGGAGGGGGAGGCGGGCGAGACCGCAGTAAAGCAGTGTGACAGCAAGGCCGGGGAGCTGGGCGGGCAGCGGGACCAAAGACCCCGAGGGCAGAGCAGGAAACAGGTGGTATCTAGGGGGAGGTCTGAAAGCCGCTGTGGCGCGCAGGTGGTGAGGACCGGACCGCCCGAGAGCCTGCAGACAGAACGGGGCCCCGCCCACACCTCCCTCTCGGACCTGTGACCTCCAGGGCTGAAAAAAATTAATTTCTGCTTTTTAAGCCCCTCAAGTCTGTGGTACTTTGTTACGACAGCCCAGGAAACCAGTTCAGTAATCTACACAAGCTCCTCCGACCACAAGAATTGAACCCCACATTTGCTGTGGGTTCTACCAGCCTCTAAGAACCTCCCTGAGGCTACCTAGTCCCAGCATCCCATGCGCCCCGCGGTGTGGGGCCAAGAGCAGAGCAGGCGCACTAAGCAGAAGAGGAGGTGGAGGAGTGACACATGTACTCCAGGCACCGCCAAGCTGGGGTCTCCAAGCCACACTCCAGTCCCCAGGCAGCTGGCATGGACACAAACTCCTCCCAAGTCAGGTGGACAGCACCGCAGGGACACGGGGGAGCAGAGGCAGGTGGAGGGGCTGGGCCCTGGCTCCCCGGGTCCACTCCGGACCCTGGAGATGGGTGAAGGCTGTGCGCACAGCAGGATGGTTCTCAGAATGACCATGCCTGAAGTCTGGCACCTTCCCTGCCAGTGAGTCCCTGTCAAACCTGAAAATTCAACACCAGCTGCTCCCTGTACCCTAAATTCCCTAAACACCAGAAAATTTAGACCCACCCTGCTGGCCTGTAAGGTCAAGGGACGCTTGTTTAATCCTTTTACAAAACAAGGAAATAAATGTTTTCCACAAAAAAAAAAAAAAAATGCAGCATAGGGGTCCTTCCTTCTGGGCCCCCTTCCTCCACCCTTTGCCTTCTGGAAAGGGCCTCATACTAGGTGGTGGAGGCCTGAGTCTGCGTCGGCCTGCGCTGTGCTGGCCCCCTCACTCACCTGCGTGGAGCTGGAGGCTGTCCGCATCCCGACTGGGGCGAGAGGAGCAGCGGATGGACTCGGCCGCCACCGAGGGCAGGCACTTGACCTGCAGGCCCAGGAAGAAGGCCTCCGTGCAGCTCCGTAGGTGGTCAAGGAGAGCGTCTGCCGGCCCCTCGCTCAGATCTGGGGGCAGAGCAGCACCGTCAGCCCGGCTCTGAGCCTGCCCCGGCTCCTGGAGGCCCTGCCGGCCTGTGCCCAGCACCTGGAGGCCCAACACCAGCCGAGCCTGGGCCTGGCCTCACAGGGCCGAGGCGGGCACAGAGATCACATTAAGAGACACTAAGCACTTCTCTTTAAGGGCCACAAACAAGTGGGGGTAGGGGGTGAGAGGTTAATGCCAGGTAAGGGACAATCGTCACAGTGGCAGTCGACTGGTCTGCTCGGTGGGAAGTTGAGAGGAGGGTCCTCTGCCAGCTCCCTCCATCCCAGAGGACAGCGGGGAAGGCGGGAGCCAGCAGTAGAGGCACAGCTGGGCTTACTCCCGTAAGACTGCCAGTCTGGCAGGGGGGGGGGGGGCAGCAAAGGTGCAAGACAAGTGGGCGGGACTGTCCCACGACTGCTGAGCTGTCCCAGGGCAGTGAGGCTGTCCTGAGGCTGCAGGGCACCATGGCAGGAAGCACAGCCAGACCACATTTTAGGGGGACAGAGGGACATGGATGGGGGACCTGTGAGAAAGGCCAACAGCATCAGCCTTGCCCAGGAGCTGTTAAAAATGCAGACACCCCAGGCTACCCAGACTCAAGCTGCATCTGAACAAGGAACCCCAGAAACTGCATGTTAGCATTTGAGGGGTGCTGCTCTGGCTGTTAGGGCCTGGAGCAACAAGGATGGTTTGCAAGGTCAGAATCTATGGAGATGGGGGATACCCACAGATCTCTGGCTCCCTCAACACCCAGCCAGCGGGTCTCCAGAGAACCTGCCTCGGGGATCTCAGCCCCTCTTGACAGGGAGGCGATGGGGTGTGCCATGCCATGCTCAGCCAGAGCCTCGCAATATAGACTGAGGTTAAGACCTGGGCCTCTGGGGAACCTTCATGCAAATTCTGCCTCTACCAACTGCCAGCTCTGCCTCTTGGGCAGGTAAGCGACCTGGCCCAGCCTCGGGTTCCTGTGTGCGAAGCAGCATGACCCCAATCTCAGGACTGCACACCACACAGGAGTCTGAAAGAGGAGCACACAGCACTGCCCAACAGGTCCAGGACCCTAGATTTCCTAAACAGTGTCCCAGATGAGGTGGGAGAATGTCTGAGCCCAGAGGGCCTCCCCTGCCCCGCCGCCCCTGCGCCCCAAACCTACCGGTACTGTCCTCCCTGGGCCCAGGCACAGACACCCCCACCTTGTGCTAGATCTAGGCCTCATCCCCTCTTGGGGTCCTGGTGGTCAGGATGCCCCATCCAGCTCATCACCCACTTGCTGGCCCTGTGGGCCCACACCCGTGCCAGTACCTATGGGCTGCAGGTAGATGTGCTTCCGGGCCTGGCTCTGCTTCCTGGGCAGCAGCGCCGCATGGAAGGTCTGGAAGTCCTCAGGAGCCTCGGGGCGGCTAAGGAGCCAGTCGAAGGCGGTACGGATGAGCAGGGTGCAGAAGAGGGTCCTCTGGGGGTTGTAGGCCTCAGCCAGGAAAAGCCTCTCGGCGGGGGAGAAGGTGGACACGTAGAGCTGCTGCAGGGCTGTGTCCGTGGACACCAGTGCGTCCTTTAGGGCCCGGGGGCCAAAGCTGAACTCCTGGGCGGGCCTGCACTGCAGCATGGTGGGTGGACAGGCGGGGACTCAGGGACGGCCCCCAGGCCTGGCCACATCCAAGAACCCCTGCTGCTGCCCATGAACCATGCAAGGATGGCCACAATCTCTTCCAGAATTTTCCCTAGGTCTGACCAGAGTGGCTGCTGAGGGCTCCCCACAGATGGATGTGCCCAGCATTGGGCCTCCTTGGCACAGCAGGGGACAGGATGGACACCTCCTGGCCGCCGGACACCCTGCAGGTGGGGGACATGCACCAGTGAGCCGAGCAGGCAGGGAAAGCAAGAGTCAGTGCCACCCAGGCCTGGGAAGGATCTGGGGGTGGGGGGTAGACAAAAACCAATAGGGGCACCCAACCTCCCTTGTACCTCCCCCAGTTCTGGAACCCCAAAAAGGTACACAGGCCCCTAAGGATAGCAGCCCCAACATCCACGCCCATCACATTCTGCCCCAAGCCCTCAGCAGGAGGGGCATTCCAAGGGAGACCACTGAGCCCCAGAAAAGCCAGAGGGGCCTCGCCAAGCAGCACACCAGCCACAGTGTCTCCTCGTGATCACCTGTCACCCGGGACCCCGCAGCACCTCCTTGCCCCAACTGCCAGCTTTCCCGGCAGAGGCTCTACATGCCCCAGGAAGGGAGTCCCATCCTCGAGTCCATGGCCAGGCCAGGCCAGCCCAGGAGGAGAGAAAGGCAGCCCCTGCTGTGCCCAGACCCAGAACTTTCCCCACCCAAGCCTGGGCAGACCCAGTGCCAGTCCCTGAAGTCCATGAACAGGGAGCTGTGGAGAAGCAACAGAGAGGCTTTAACTGCTGGGCAGGCTGGACGGGAAAGCAGAGGCAGGAGGGACAGATGGGCGGGGGGAGCAGTGACAGAGTCACTTTACAAACAGGATTTTTCCTTCCCAGTGGGGCGCCACAGCCGGTGCATCGTGGAGTCATCAGAATCAAGCTCCCCCTCCCCACCCTCCGCACAGCCACATCCCGAGAAGCACTGACAGATGAGGCCTAAGACCCGATGGGGGAGGCGGCGGGGGTGGGGTGCACGCAGAATAAAGATGGGGGAGGTCACGAGGGAAAACAACTGGAGAAAAGAAGCTACACAAATAACAGCGGAGAGCCAGGGAGAGGCAGCCGCGGACGCTGGTGCCGCATGCAGAAAGTCGAGCCAGACGCACGAAGCGCTTCTCTGCAGAAGGCACATTGCGAGGCCCCCAGCCCTGGCCGGAGAGACAGCCCTGGGCCTGGATTCTGAGGGAGAATGAACAAGCCCACACTCCTTCAAGCAAGTCCAAATTGGATCATTTGTCCCCAAAAATCAATTTAGACACAGACTCCGGTGTCCGTGTGTGTCAGGATATGCAGCACGTATAAACATGGGTGCATGTGCAGGAAATGTGGGTGGATACAAAACTTATAAAGTTTCTTCTGGAGAATTATGTGCATATAATTTCCCCAGAAGATATCAGCTCCCCAGAGATCTGTACAGATACCATTTTCTTTGCAGTCAAGCGCTAGCTCAGACAAGAGGAGGGCCGGGATGAGCTGAGGGGGCCCCCGAGACCCCTCCAGACAGTTTTAGGTACCGTGAGGAATCTTGATTTGCGTGGCTCAACTGCTTTGTAAGACTGTGCAAGTCACCCCCACCAGCGCTGGGAGTTCCAAGTCAGCACTGGATCCTCCCTGCTCGACGGACGTCACTGCAGGGACGGGCATTAGCTCCATTTTCAAGAGGGTGAAACTGAGACAAAGTGATTTAAACCAACTTAACCACAGTGCCATAACTTGTAAGAGTCAGAGGTGGACTAGCTCACTGACTGCTCGCGCACCCCAGGAGCCATCACCAGAAGCAGCCCGGCCCCACCTTCTCAGGAGCCCCGCCTGAGCCCCTTGTGCGCCACCAGGCTGGGGCAACACGGGCAGCTCGCACCGGGATGAGCCCCGGCCCCCAGGCTGTAAGCAAAAACGCCAGCCGTGCAGACACCTGCGGACAAACCCTCAGGGAAGGCCGCAGCGGCAAGCCAAGTGGCCAAGTGTCTTGGGGCCCGAGAGACACCGTGGGCGCTTCCAGAGGAGGCAGGGCGGGCCCAGGGCAGGGGCTCACGTGGGCCCCTTCACTCATTCCTTCAGCAGATAGTCCCCACGCGCCTGGTCACCCGTGGCCCAAACAGACAGGTCCCTGGCCTCGTGGAGCTTAAATTCCCGAGAGGTCAGACAAGAAGTCGCATCTCCCAAGAGCTGATTAGTCAGAAAGCAGAAAAGGCAGAGAGGGGTGAGGCGGGGGGTGCTGCGCGTTTCAAGAGGGTGTGCAGAGAGTGCTTCCTGGGAACACGGGCTCACAGACTGGAGGGCATCAGGGCAGGGGGTCGGGGCAGGAGCATCCAAGCAGAGGCGCGCGTGCAAAGGCCCCGCCGCACACACACGCCGCGGGCTCAGGGACAGCGGGGCAGGCTCGTGGCAGGAGTGGAGGGGCCGGCACATCACACAACACGAGGAAGGCCGTTCTTAGGGATCTGGCCTTCACCTTGAGCCGCATGGACAGGGGTGACGTGAGCCATGTGCGCATGTGCAAGCATGGCTCCAGGAAGCCTGTCTCTTCCCCAGCCGGCCGAGGCACGGTGGGCCTTGAGGCAGGAGCCTGCAGGAGCGTTAGGAGACCATGAGATCCCAGCAGATCCCGGGACCCCTTGAGGACCAAGTCCCTGAATGCCAGCTGCAGCTCTGGCATGACCTGGCCCTCTGACCTTAACCCTAACACTGTGCCTCAGACTCCTCCCAGGTACACTGGGTTGGTACCACCTGCCCTCCTGGGCCAGCGTGCACTGGGCCAGCACCGGTCACGTGCATCTCACCAGCCTATTTTTGTTTCTGGATGTGGGTCACATGCCCCCACTTCTGTGCTCTGCGCTCTCTCCAGACCTGCTCACAAACACCCTCACGAGTTGCTGGAGCGAGGGGCTCTACCCCGACAGCTTAGTGTCACAGCAGCTCAGGATGATTCCTTCGGGAACTGGGAGTGGCCTGTAAACTGTTTCTCCGAAGCAGCCTGGCCCTACCAGGTGCCCAGGAGGGCCTGTGTCTCGGCTTTCCAGGTGAGGCAAGAATAAGACAGCTCAGATGTCTGGGCAGCTACCTGGTCCAGGTGGGCCTCCCTCCTCACAAGTCCACCATCCCCACCACCACTTTGACAGGATACCTCATCTGAACTGCCTGAAACCTTCTCACCCGCCCGCTAGCCAAGGAAGCTGACGGGGAGGGCAAGCCACTTGCCCAAGGTTTCAGCCTTCCAGGACTCACACGCAGCTCTCCGGGCTCCTGACACAGTGCCCCTCACTCTGCTCCTTATTCACAGAAGCTCCTGCCCTCGAAGGATCCTTCCTGCCAGCACCCACTCCCCTTGCCACTCCCAAATCCTGCTCAGAGCGTCGCTGTCAGCAAATACCTCTAACCCAGACAAATCCTTGAAAACCGAAAAATCCCATTTTACCAAACGTTCAAGGGCCTGACACATCTGTCCCCTGGAGACTTGGACCAAACTGTAAACTTCAGGCTCATTTCGCTGCTTTGGACACAACCAGGTGCCCAGGACATCAGGAAGGGCCACAGCGGCCAGCTCTGCGGGGCCCAAAGGTGAGCAAGACGAAAGGGGCGAGCATAGGCCTTTGAGTGAAGACCAGACCCACAGCTGGGCCAGCACCTCCAAAGGAGGCTGGGGGGCTGCACCTCTGCAGGGCGGCCCCTGAGCCTCGGTCTCAGGGCCCCTTTGCGTGCCCACAAAACCACTGACAAAGTCCTAAAGACACCCAAGAGCTTGAGCTGATGGGTTATTCCTATCAACTCAAAGCCAAAGTTCTAGCTGGGAAGCGCAAGGACACAACGCCGCCATCGCGTCACACACGTCCTGCGGCCGCGGGAAGAGCCCTCAGCAGGCCCACAGGTGGAGAGAGCAGATGCCGCTGTGAAAACCGCGGGGCCCGCCCGCATGGCTGCAGTCTTTGGAACACACTCTGAGAACTGCGTCCCGCCCAAACCCTCCTCCCAGGGACGTTTCACGCTCACGGGCGGTGGTGAGCACACACCGTGTAGGACACCCGTCAGAGGATGCCCCACGACCACCTGCCCTTGAGCAGGCCTCGGCCCACCGGCCACCTCGAAAGCCCAAAGGCATCGAGGCGGCCCCTGAACTCCAGACTGGCACGGGCTGGCAGGTCAACAGGATGGGAGGGTCCAGGTTGGACAAGAAGGTGCTGAAGTCCCTCTGTCCTTCCACAAAGTTCCCACTCTCTGGGGTCCTGGACACGAATGTCTGTTCCTCTCCTCTCAAATAGCCTGTGGAGCCTCACCTTCCCGGGGTGTTAGGGGAACCCCCACCTGGCCTTTCCATCCTGCCAGGCTATTTCTGCATAAATCCATTTCTCATGCAGAACCAGCGCTAGACTGGGGCAGAGGTGAAGCCGTGTCCCGGCAGGGCAGCTAGTCTGGGGTGGGGAGGTGGGGCAGCAGGTTGGGGGGGACATGGGAGGGCACACAGAGCAAGGTCCTCTCTGCTACCTGCCAGTCCATTAATCTTGCCGATGGGGAACGCTCCAGAAGGGAACCCTCCTGTACGGGGCTCCTTGCTGCCACTGGGACTGGGCCACTGGCCATCACACCCCGCTACAGGACACAGCCAACGCGCACAGACCTTGGTCGTGGGCCGGACGCTCTGCTGAGTCTCCTGATTAAGCCCCACGGGCTCGTGAGGTCCCAGGTGCTATCATGAGCCTCCTAGATCAGGTGGGCAACCAGTCACAGCTGGGCAGCAGCCAGGTTTCAAAGCCTGCCTCACACCAGAACCCAAACTAATTCCCTGCTAAGGGGGTTCCAGAATCACAGGCGGGACGTCGCCTCCCTCGGGCAGCAATATCTCTGTCCCACCACTGTGAATGCTTCTGGCCAGCTCGCCTTGCTCGGGGTCACCCACTTGCTCCTCTCCTAGCCTCTGTTTTGCCCAAAGGCTGGGAAAGCATCGTCCTGGGGCAGGCCACGTCCTCCTGCAGGAGAGGGCCAGCCAGCAGCCCCGAGGGGCAAGGCTGTTCCAAACTTCCAGGCCCTGGGCACTTGCTCCCCCATCTGACTAGACACATGCCCCAGCCTCCGCGCAACAAACCACACTCTGATTCTTGTTATTCTGAATGCGCTTTGCAGAACCTCCCCGCAGCTGCATCGAGTTATTCATTAATTGTCAGCCCTAACCTTCATCCGAGCAGCCCCATGCAGAAAGGCATGTAAAGGGTTTGGGGTTTCACACTTCTCAGAAGGTTTCCATTTACCAGAGGGGAGGTCCGGGGCTGGACCACAGGGTGTGGGGCCCCGAGCCAGACCCCTGACTTTCTGTACCTGTGAATGGGAAATCCGGGTCCTGACACGCCTCAGGGGAGACAGGCAGGGAGGGCCACACCCCTCCCCCTTCTGACCCTAGCGGCATTTTAAAGTTTGGCATCTCTGCACCCCACCCCCGGTTTTCTGGTCTAAATCCCGTGCCCTATTTTGCCGGGTGTGCGGACCTAATTGCGCCTCCTCCATCCTCACCTGCGGCTCCGGAGGCCCTAGGGCGGGGAGTCAGGGCGGGGGAGGGGGGGGTCCTCCACTTCCCAGACCCAGGAATTGCCCCTTTCCTCGCCTCTCCCCACTGTCCCACTCCCTTTTCGCCCCCACCACGCGCGAGCCGAGAGCGTGGCAAACAGCGCCCGAGACGCCCCCCCGGAAAGCAGATGGGGACGGGTAGCCTGGCCCCTTCCTTACCCGGCTCCCCTGCCCCTCGGGGTCTCCTCCCTCAGGGGCCCCACCTGGGAAGTCCGGACCCTAATCCTGGGCAGAGCGCGGTCCCACGCCAACCCCACCCCCCACCCCACACCGCCCCCACCGCCCGGGCGCGGCGCCCGAGCCCCTCGCCTCCCGCCCCAGGGCTCCCGCGTCCACGCCAGGGGCCCTCCCCGCGCCGTCCAGGCGCCCGCGTGGCCGCGCGGACGGGACGCTGAGTGCTCGGCGCCCCCCAGCGCGGTCCCGCTAGGTCACCCCCCCCCCAAGCTCTTGGACCTCCCGCCCCGCTCGGCGCTCTCCCAGCGCGCAGCGCCGCTCCCCCCGCGCCGCGCGCCCGCCCGCCCGCGCCCGCCCGCGGCTCCCACCTGGCAGCGCTGCCCTCGCGCCCGCGGACGGCGGGACCGCAAGTTGGCTGAGAGCAGCGTGGGCTCTTGGCAGGGGCTCGGAAAATCGAGGAGGTCCCGGCATGACGTCACCGCGGAGGGGCAGCACCCGTGGAAAGCGACGGGCCCCGGAGAGGGGGGCGGGCTCCGGGCGGCACCACCCCCCGCGTGCGCGCTCCCCCGCGGCCGGCCCCGGCCCCGGCCCCACCCGCGCCAGCCCCTGCCGCTCCCAGCCTGCGCTGGGGCACCCCTGACACTCCCAGAAATGCCGGGGGAGGCTCGGGGGTGGGCCCGGGGGTGGGCCCGAGGTCTTAAAGCCCAGCCCGAGAGAGGTGAGCCAGGTGCGCGCAGGGCCGCAGGTGAGAGAGGGAGGGGAGCTTGTTGTGAGGCTCCCAGGTGAGAGGGATGGGTGAGCGCTGCTGCGGGAAGACACTGGCATCAGAGTTCAGTAATGTGGGGGTGCAATTCCAACATGATTTTTTCATCACTCCCCCCCAACTCCCCTTCATTTGGTGGATCCCCATTAAACTGCAATAATGATTTTTCAGAACTTTATACAGGCCGGGCCCCCCTGGTGGCGCAAGGGGTTGAGACGCAAGCTTATGAAGCTGTCCAGCAGCCTCTGCAGCACGAGTTCAATCCCCTGGCCAGGGAGCTACCCACATGGCGCAGCAGACCTCTCCTGTCAGGCCCGCTGCTCCCCTCAGCAGTGTATTTCAGTCAGTCTGCCTGTTCTGTTCCCCACTCTGTCTCTGGTGAATCCTCTCACCGCCCACACTTCTAGCCTGTACCCCAGCTTTTGTATGCATAAATAAATCTTTAGAGGAAAAAAAGAACTTTATATAAGCCAGCACAATATACTAAATGTTTCCATTTATGACCTCATTCCAGCCTCTTAAAGGCCTGTGTGATAACTATCCTTTTTGTTTCCACTTTATGGATGAAAAACTGAGTAGTCAGGAAGTAGGCAGGCAGCCGGCAGAGTGGGGGCTTCATTGCCACCTGGGATGCCAGTGAGGGTGGATGCAGTCGACCTGCTGGCTTGTATCCTGGAGGTCTTTGTCCCGGGAACTGAAAGGACTCATGGCCCTGGTCCGCAGGGCCCCAACAAGGAGCCATGTCTGGGTTGCTCATGTTCCTGGGAGAAGGGCGGCCACAGATCCCTCCACAATGCCCGTGTATCAGCCTGTCGCCCACGTGCCATCTTCCCACTGGAGAACAGCTCCTGGGAGGCGGGCAGGGCCTGTGCTGGGGCAGGTCTCTATGAAAGCAGAGGACGGGTCCCCTGGGTGGCCACTGGAATTGCTACTTGGCCTTTCTGGGCCTTGTCCTCTCAGCAGCCTCCACCTTGCCCGGCTGGAATGGACTCTGCCATCACGCAACTGGGGAAGGCCCAAGTTGGCATAGCAGTTCCACAGGGCAAGGCAAGCAGCCCCATGGCCTTGCGAGGTCACAGGTGCTATTACGATCCTCCTATCTCAGGTGGGGAAACGGCCCACCTGAACCCTGAGAGGTTCTCGTCTAGGGTCAGGGGGCTCCTGTACCCCTAGAAGGCTGGGCCTCCTGAAGCCCAGGCCACAACAGGCACGTATGCGCTCACCCTCGCCCCCTTCTGGCGACAAGTGTCATGGCGCCCCTCCAGCTGCCTAAGCAGGAGACACTAGAAAGCCCTCCCTCAGCCCAGGGCTGTCAGGCCTCCTTCCGGGCAGCGTGCTAATGTCCCCAGATAGTGTGTCCATGGCCGAGTGTGGTCAGGTGCCCATCGCGTGACGACTGCAGGTGGCTGGGCCTGGGGAGCGCACGCACTGCACCGTCACCGGAGGTGGCTGGAGCAGGCCAGGCAGGGTCCGCAGGGTCCTGTTACCAGCTGTACGCGGAGCAGTGAGTCCACCCTGGTTCGCTCCCTTTGGCGGGGCCCAGGCAGGTGGCTGTTAATTCAAGAAGCTGAACAGTTGAGGTGGGGGGACAAATACACAAGCGCCCCTGAAATGGAGGCCGGGTGGTTAAATTGGTCTCAGATCCTAAGAGCACAGCAGGGAGAAAGGAACTTCTCTGAACTTTTCTCTGAGATTGCTTTGCACAGACACAGCAGGGCTGTTGCTTCTCAGCTAACCTTGAGCCGGGCTTCAAGGCTAGAGCCAGGAGACTGCGCACACAGGAAGGGGGCTCCCCGCAGGTGAGGGGCCACCACAGCCATGCAGCACTGCAGTTAGCTGCAGAAGAGCCTCGTCATACTTGCTCACACGTGGATTGGCCTGTAACTAGCCGAAGCATTACCGCCAAGTTCGCGTTTCTCTGTCCCTCACAGGCTCCCCAGCCAATACAATTTAACTCCTTTGTTCTCAGCCTCAGCCCCCCAAACCTGATAAACTCATTCCCTTTCTTACTCCAAGAGATTTGACCTCACTTCCTGCCTCCTTGCCATCAGTTTGCAACAAAGCTTGTTTCTCCTTGAGGCTGCTGCCAGAACCTGATCTCTGCAGGCTGGGTCAGGGGTCTGCCTCCCAGGGGAGAGGTCCCCCTTGTACTTTTGGGATGTGAGGAGCCCTTTCTTGGAGGTCGGCCCAGCTGGCTGTTGCCAGCTTCCATGAGGCTTCTGTGTCCCCCCCAAGGGTCCTCTCAAGGGCTGCTTGGGGCTGGGGTGCTGGCCAGGGCCGGGCAAGGCTCAATCTCACGTACACCTTGAGTGCGGGTCACCATTTCTCCCGTCTCCTGACCATCGTGGCTGGCCGGGGCCTCCTGTCTATCAGCCATGAGGACTGCACCGCAGCTCGGCCAGGCCAGCTGTGAGAGTGGCCTGGCCTTGTGCTTCCACCCCCGAGTAGAAAGGACTCCAAGTGCAGGGAGGAGCCGTGCGATGAAGGCCGGCATGATGGTCCAGCTCCCACGAGGAAACTTTTCCCCCAAGCTGCCCTTTTTCTCTTTGAAAACCTTTATGATAAGGCCTTCCTTGGAGCCGAAAGTTGTGCAGGCCCCGGGTTGCCAACTTCCAGGCAGCCCGCCCCCCCCACCTGCCCAGCCTCACTTTGGAGAAATGCCCCCACAAATGACTGAGGGATTTGTCACCATTTTCTCCTAACGCTGCCCGGGAATTTGGTGAAGTCTTTCCCCCCCCCCCCATAGAGGAATGTTATTTATTTATTTATTTGTTTGTTTGTTTGTTTGTTTGTTTGTTTTGTTTATACAAGCACTGGGTATAGTCAGAAGCGCAGGAGGGCGAGAGAATTCACCAGAGCCAGAGCGGGGAGCAGAGCAGGCAGAAGGACCGAAGTACACTGCTGAGGGGAGCAGCGGGTGGCAGGAGAGGTCTGCGCGCCATGTGGGACCCTCCTCCGGTGGCCGGGGAGCAGCCGGGGATCTAACCAGCGCTGCAGAAGCTGCGGGCAGCTTCGCAACCCAGCGCTCAACCGCTGCGCCACCGGGGAGGCCCTATTTGGTGAAGTCTTATGAAATGAAGTTATAACAACAGATGTTTGTTATAGAAGATTTACAACTTGCCGAAAAATAAAGAAAACAAAAGAAGACCTCACCATCCAACCATGGAGATGTAAGCTCTCAACATTTTTCTCAGATTTCCTCCAGGCCATTCTTTCTCCACATCTAAAGGGGTTTTTGCACTACATACTCCACCCCGCCGGCAGCTCTGTCACCGAACCCCCTTCCCTGCTTGCCAGTCAGCACCCCGCTGCGTCCGAGCTGCTGTGCTACGTGTGTGAGGAACCTGGTTTGGGACATTTGGGCTTCCCCCACTTCTTGCTATTTCATATATGTCACTCTGTCACTCTTGTTCCCACAACCGTTCGTTGCACAGGGATTTACCCTCCCACCCCACCTTGGCATAAATCCCTACAAACAGATTGTGGTTCACAACACTGCCCTTTTACATGCCTAACTGAGCTTGTCCCCATTTATCACTGTTGTGGCAGAAAGTTCAGCTCCAGGGTCTTTCCTCAAACTGGGCACTACACAGGACATGGGTACCAGCTCTGCTCTGGTGGGAAGGCACAACGGGGGCAGGAACAGTAATTACGTGTCAGGCCCGGGGAAACATCCTTTCATCTGCCCAAAACTTAGGACCCACATGTTTGCCTTGCTCATCCAGAAGGATTTCCACTGTATAATGGGGGTGCCCAGTACCCCCAAACCCCAGATTTTCAGTCTAAGACCAGCTGATCCGTCAGGCAGCCAACGCCCAGTCAGGCCTGGAGGAGATGGGGAGAAGGACCTCAGAGTTGGCCTGGGGTCTGCTTGGATGGGGCAGGAGTGCAGGGTCCAGGCTTCCCAAGGGGCTGCCTGCCTGTGCCTCAGTTTCCCCAGACTGCTTGTCCCGGGGTGCTCTGAAGTTGAGCTTTTTCACTGCAAAAATGCAGGGGGAATCTGAGGACATTTCACCTGCCTGGAACTGTCCAGGCAGCTATTTTAACTGACCATTTACTGAGTTTTCACCCTAGGCCAGCCCAGGGGCCCTGACACTCCTCATCCCCTGTCCAGGGGTAGCCAAGAGCCCTCTCAGGCTTGGGGGCAATGGAAAGCCCTGGTGTTAGAGGCAGGACAGGTGGGCCTGGCCAGCAGCCCGGGCACGATAAAAGCCCTCCTGAGGGTGTAAGAGCAGAGCGAGGCCAGAGCACCTAGACAGAGCCTGCTACCCTGCCCCAGCCTGTGTGTCTGCCCTCTGAGCCCCATTAGCATTCACTCTGGGTCTCTGGACTCTGAAAGCCCTTGTTCCCTCGAGAGAGCAGCCAGGCCAGCTGAGGCCTGGGGGATGGTCTCAGTCCCTCCCCCACACACACACCCAGGGCCTTGGCCCTGGTAGGGAAACGGCACAGGCTCTCTCCCTCCTGCCTAAGCTCCCCATAGGCTCAGCCAAGCCCAGGTGGGAGTGGAGGTCCTAGGTATCAGGAGTGGGGCTCTGGGGACCCCCGCTAGGGGTCTTGCTCTCAGTCTCTCTGTCATTGTCTCCTCTCCATCTCAGTCTCTTCTCCTCTGGGGTTTTGTGTGATCAGAGGCTCAGAGAGAATCCCCACATGTCGCTTCTTGAACAGAAACAGTGAGGCAGGCGAGAGACTTCTGCTCGGCACCCACATTCCTCAGGAAGCACCCCTGTCTCCAGCCCTGTCTCTGTCCCTGTGAGCGTCAG